TCTCCATTGGCTGCAAGAGTCATAGGTGGCGTTCTCAATTCTCATTTGGACGAAAGTCATTGGATAAGAGTTTTAAACCATGATATTGGAAGTCAGAATGATATCTTCTCAGTTTTAAAATTGAGCTATCTATTCCTCCCAAAAGTTCTACAAAATTGTCTCTCATTTTGTTCCATTTTCCCACAAGATCATGAGTTTGACAAAGATGATTTAGTTCGAATGTGGATTGCATTGGGTTTCATTCAACCATTTAACATTCGAGGTGAGACTACAAAGGATGCTGGAGAGAGGTACTTTAATGTTTTGGTCAAAAAGTCTTTATTTGATAAATTTCAGAATAAACATCGAACATACTACAAGTTGCATGATTTACTACATGAAATGGTCCGGTTTGTTTCGGGACAAGAGTACTTCAGCATTGTAGGTGACGAAGAGTTATCTATAGAAAATCCTGAGACTATTAGACACTTATATGTTGATACTCAAAATACAAAAGTGTTCAGAAATATGGACAAATTTAAAAAATTGCGTTCTCTTATCATGACTTATATTTGGATGGTCCCTATTTTTGATGAACTTACTAAAATTTTCAAAACATTGAAAAGTTTACGCTTATTGTGCATACATGCTCCACTTGAAGAAATACCAGAGGAGATTGGATATTTAACACATCTTCGATATCTGAACTTTGTTGAAGCTCTCATGGTTCCACTACCAAGATCTGTCTGTAATCTTTATCACTTACAATTCTTGATTTATGATCGTGATCGTAAATTTTCGGATGATGATGATTTCTTACCAACTGATTTAAATAACCTTCGTAAACTACATTATCTTAAACTTTCCAGTCCTGGGATGTATGAGATTGGGAAGCTAAATGCTCTTCAAGAGTTAGATGGACTTTATGTTCAAAATTTGGCTGGTTATAGAATTGAGGAGCTAGAGCATATGAATGAGCTTCGCATATTAGTAATCTATTATCCGGAAAATGTGGAGGATGCCAAAGATGCTTGCAAGGCCAAATTATGCGATAAGAGGAACCTCACAGATTTGTCCTTAGAATGGGGTAGCTTGGAACGTATAAATCATAAGCATGAGAATGTGCTTGACAACCTTCAACCCCATAGTTGTCTAAAGAAACTGAAGATAAATTCATTCAAGGGTGCCAGGTCTGCAATATGGATGAACAATGTCCATTTAATCTCCAATCTAGAATACATCCGATTGGAAGATTGCTCAGCATGGAAAACTCTTCCTCCCTTTTGGCAGCTTCCCTTTCTCAAATCCCTTTACCTTCATGACATGCCAGAAGTAAAAGGTTTTGAATGCAAATTTCATGAGAATGACAAGATTCGTGTCTTTCCATCGCTAGAGGTGCTACATATTCAGAAATTGAAAGCAATGGAGGATTGGTTTATTGCAACAGCAACAACATATGAATGCCTCTTTCCTTGCTTGACTAAGTTGTACCTAGAAGATTGCCCAAATTTGTTGGAATTACCCTCTTGTCCTCCTAAGCTCGAGAAATTGGAGATAGATAACATCGGGTGGAAAGATTGTAACTGGCTACAAGGTATTAGTAACTATTGCAGCATTTCAATTCGAAATTGTCAGAGCCTGACATATCCCAAAAGACATTAAGAAGTGGAGACCTTCGATAAATTCCTCCTTGACTTCATTTCCTTTCTTCTTTCCAACAGCTTTCCATTACTTTTGTTCTTCAGCTCTGCAAATTACCTGACCTCCCTCCCTGTTTGTATTTATGCTTTTCTGTATGTTTGTGGAATTTATCATTCTTGTGTGATTTAAGAGTTCTTAAGATTTTATGTAATTGTTGGGATAGAATTGTTCATGTGTGTGATAGATGTTAAGTAACTGTTGTAATAATTGATGAGTGATTTTTGATGAACAACTATTTGATTTTGATGATAGAGATTGTATTTATATGTTTTATCAGCATGTATGCGGAATTTCTCATTCTTGTGTGATTCCAAAGCTTTAGAGTTATCTCTATTATGATTTTGCCTATTTTGGTCTGTATGATTTTCTCTATTATGATTGTATGTAAAGTATTATTATTCAATGTTTGAAATAAATGAGAATAACTCACAATGCTCTAAAAAATCTTCCACATTGTAAAGAAAAATTGGTTAGTTCCTTCCTCCAACGTGGGTAAGCTTATTATTATGTTGAGAATCTATTCTTGTATATATTCATTTGGATTTATGAGCTTAGTCTGAAACTTAGATCTTTAAATTGGCATATGATTAGTAATTCATGATTATTTTAATTCTGGCATTTGGTGTTGATTCCATCATATTTGTATATATTCCCAAATGAAGAGAGGGTGAAACCTACAGGCTACAGCTTTGAGGTTGCAGCCATAGCTGTGGTTTGGCAAAGTAAGCAAAACATATTGATTGATTAGCATCCAATACTAGAATGCTATACCTAGCTTATGAGTTGTGCAACTCATGTCATTCTAAGGTTTTGTTTGGGACAGCTTTTGATCGTTATTTTTTTTTTGCTGCTTTCAAAAAAATTTTATACACTAATTAACCTTTGATGAGCTGAAGCTTTTTCCTCAGGAGCCATCATTGGGAGAAGGCTACACCAACAAATAACTGTCATG